CCGAGGGCCGCGCCTGCTACGCGGCTGCGGGCCCCCCGGGGTCGCCGGCCGAAGGTATCCATCAAGTGCTGCGAACGACAACCTTGGGGGTGCCCGTCGACTTGGTCGAGGGCGCTCGGCAGCCTCCACGGGCTGCCTGACCGTGATGGCCAGCCTCGCGCTGTGGACGCTGAGCTTGAGACGGGCCAGGAGGCGGGCGGTGCGCATTCTGCTGGGCCGCTGGGTTCGAGTTCGCTTCGTCTTGGCGGCCGCTGGCGGCCAGCTGGGCCCTCGCCCGGAAGCGGCCCGCGAGCCCTCGCACTGGCCTCTGGCGCCGTGATCTATGGCGACGCCTTCTCCGACCGTGGGCGCGCGCTGCCCGAGGGGTGGCAGCGACCAGCGGACGCCGCATGCGAGGAGGTGACCGGCCTCGTGAGTGGCTTCGGCGGGATCGTCGGCGGGTGCCGGGTTTCCGAGGCCCTCGGGCTGGTCCCTGCCGTGCGCCTACCGTTCGGGTTGGCCCCCCGGCGATGCGGATGGCTCGGCGCAGCTACCCCAGCTGGCAGCACTTGGGGGACGTGATGGAGGCGGACCTGGCGGCCATGGCAGCCCTGCTACGCGCCCGTGGCCGCGTGTCGTGCGTGCTGGTGGTGGGTGGCTTCCCGTGCCGGGTCTTCGCGGGTCCGACGTCGCTCGGCAGGGCCTCGACGACCCGCAGGCGGGCCTGCCGACCACGTGGTGCGGGTCGAGGATATGCTGCGGCGGCCATGCCGGAGGCGTCGATCGTCTTCGTCGGGGAGAACGTCACGTCGGTGCCCGAGTGCGACGTGATCCGCCCGAACCAGCTCTTCGGCCGCACCCTGCCGGAGATCGTGGCTGGATGTCGGCTGGGTCCGACGTCCGCGGCTCCACTGGGTCTCGTGGGGCTTCCTGCCGTCGTTCGAGGCTGTGCCCGAAGTGGTGCGGGCCAAGACCCAGGACGTGCGGTGTGTCTGCGGGGCGGCGCTGGAGGCGGAGCGGCCGCCGCTCGAGGAGTGGCTCCCAGCCGAGGCTGCGTGTTCAGGTCCCGCTGTGGGGGGAGCTGCTGCCGACCTTCGGGCGCTGGATGCCGTGCTCGCAGTTGCGCCCCAGGCCGGCGGACATTGAGGAGTGCGGCACTGCGGAGCTGGCGAGCTGGGAGACGGGTGGCTTCGCTTCGCCGCCCTACCAGTTCCGTGGCAAGTGGTGCTTGCACTGGGCGGGCGACCGCGTCGAGCCGTCTGACGCCAGGATACGAGAGAAGCTGATGGTCTGCCCGGAGGACCGCACTGTGCCGTGCATGATGAGCAGCGAGGCGGAATCGAGCCCGCCAAGTACGATGCTCTTCAACAGTCCCTCGCGGGCAACTCCTTCCAGTGCGAGGTGGTGGCCGGGATGATCGGCCACTGGGCCTTCGGTGCTGGGCGGCTGGTCCCAGTGCCCTCGCTGGGTGAGCTTCGCGCAGTGCGTGAGCGTGGGCTGGCGGCGAGATGCTGTGGGCCGGCGACGTGCCGTCGCTGCACTGGGGCCGCTCCGAGATCGACGAGGGCCTGCGCGCCATGCTGGACGCGCCGGCGGTCCCATCTACGTGGGTCGTGTGTCTCGGCAGTGGGCCCTGGCTGCCTCGCAGTGAGGCAACCCCCCTTCTCGGCGATCTCCGTGAGGTCACGGGAGGGCGCTGTTGCCCTGCTCGCTGGTTGGAGCCGCATACAACCAGCTCTCCTGCAGAGGTTGGTGTCGCTGCACGGGGCCCTGCTCATCTGCCACTGTGGGACCGGCCAGGCGTGCCGTACAACATCCTCTTGACAGAGCTTGCGAGGCCTGACGTGGAGGAGTAATGCGAGCTGGACGCGTCCAGACGCATCGTCAGGAGCTCGTCATGGGGTCCCGCAATAACAGTGCGCACATCAGAACCGCTGGGGCCTGGGAGACGCTCAACGAGATCTTCCCGCGGGAAGAGTTCGCCCCAGGCATTGGCCCACCAGGCAGCCACTGTGGGATGCAGCGGGTTACGTCAACGCTGTCAGGTGCCAGGGCGCGCCGATGGTGTTTCCCCATGGCGAAGCGGTCAAGGCGCCGCCGCCGGCGCGTCTTCCTGCACCTGCTCGGCAGCATAGTCAACACGGTGCGCTGTCCAAGCACCGCTTCAGCAGTCTTGTGTTCCATGGTGATGCGGACCCTCTCGGCGTGGGAGCTGGCGATCGGCGCGCAGGCGGTCTTCGGCTTCACGTCGTCGGCTCGGAGCCCCGCGGACGCCCCCCCGCGCGTCTCCGCGATAGGGGATGCGAGCGACCCTGCTGACCGCCGCGCTGCCGGAGCTGGGCTGGAGAGACGGAGAAAACGCCAGGATGGGCGCCTCGACACTGGCGCTCAGCTTTCTGTTGACTACCTTGTTGCCAATGGTCTGCCGCTGCCTTTGACGTAGAACGTTATTGTGTTTGCCGGCGCGTTTACCCTGCGCACTTGTGGGCCGAAAGGGTGCACAAATAGTCTTGCCAATGACACCCTCAGCGGCGTGCAGCACGTGCTGAGGTGAGGCGCCGCTATCCTGTGGCATAGCAGCTGCTGACAGTCTAGAAGACTGGAGATCCCTCAGCGCGCGCCGCCGATGCCTGCCCAGCTCTGCACGGCGTTCGCGGATTAAGCGCCAGCCGCCGAACGGGTGGCTTTCGCGGCCGTGCTGCTCGTGGCCTTCCACTCTGGCTTCGCACTGGCGAGAATTTGGGGCTGTGCAGCGCATCATCTTTCTGAACCCTGTGCCCGAGGCGTGTGTCATTGCCCTGGGCCAGTGCGTCCGGCCAGAAGAGCGCGCGGGAGCAGGCCACGCTCGACGACTCGCTGGTTGGCGCAGTCGCCCTCCACAGCTGCGGCGTGTGTGCCGGCTTTGGCCCTGCAGCGCGCGCCTTCCTTAACTTGTTCCGTGCTTGGCTCCGGCAGATCGGCGCCTGCACCTCGCCCTGTCACTTTACAGCCTGGCGCGCGGAGTACCGCGCCCGTGCTACCTGCCGTCGGGAGACTTGTCTCGTGTCTGTGCGTTTTGCAGCCCGTGACCTGCTGCAACTAATCTTTCGTGACTGGTGCGAGCTGCTGCCAGAGCTGCCGTCGCCAGTCTTGATATTTCTTCGGCCTACGGCCAGAGGAAAAACACCGAATGGAGAGCTTCGAGAGTTGGCGAGCTTCATGGGCAAGGTCCTGCTGGGCTCTCAGGGGGTTCTCTTTGCTGGGCCCCCCCCAAGGCCGTCGAGCCTCCCCTGGCCCCCGAGGCCGTGGAGCGTTCTGGCCCCAGTCTTTCGGATGGTGGTCGACCCCAGTCTGCGGATGGTGGTCTGCGAATCCAGCTCTGGCCTCGGGGTGCGGTCTGTGCTCTGGCGTGGGGGGGACGGTCCGTGCAAAAGAGAGTATACCTTTCGAGCTCCGTGCAGAGGCCTCTGTAGATATAAATACAATGCCCATCGGAGTTTAAGCTCTGTCAACAGCTTTGGCCGATGAAGAGGGAAAGAGTTTTCTCCTTAATTCAGTAAGCTTTCGCTCACCCCCCCCCGCCTGCCCCACACATGTATACGTTTACGGAAGATGTGTGGGCGTCGGGGGGGTAGCGTGTCACATCGGCCGCTTTCGCTTGCATGGCAGCTGTTCTGGCCCACCCACATACCGCCCTAAGTGGCAAGTGTAATTAAGTCTCGCGAGAGCTCGAGCTTCATGGGCAAGGTCCTGCTGGGCTCTCAGGGGGTTCTCTTTGCTGGGCCCCCCCCAAGGCCGTCGAGCCTCCCATGGCCCCCGAGGCCGTGGAGCGTTCTGGCCCCAGTCTTTCGGATGGTGGTCGACCCCAGTCTGCGGATGGTGGTCTGCGAATCCAGCTCTGGCCTCGGGGTGCGGTCTGTGCTCTGGCGTGGGGGGGGGGCGGTCCGTGCAAAAGAGAGTATGCCTTTCGAGCTCCGTGCAGAGGCCTCTGTAGATATAAATACAAATGCCCATCGGAGTTTAAGCTCTGTCAACAGCTTTGGCCGATGAAGAGGGAAAGAGTTTTCTCCTTAATTCAGTAAGCTTTCGCTCCCCAAGCCGCATGCCCCACACATATATATAATATATATATATAATATATATATATATATATATATATATATATATATGTATCAAGCCCCTGGGGAACCGCAGACCCGGCCCCCCCTCCCCCATGGGGTTTCTGGCCCTCCTTTCGCGCCCCACATGGCCCCGCAAGGCCCCGTCGCATCGACAGGTGGCCCCCCGCGAGGCGTAGATGGCCCTACGGTGGCGCCAAGACGCACTCCGGCAGAGCCGAAGAGCGTTCCGAGACGTCCAAAGCGGCCTCAAGCCTGCCCCAGAGGCATCCGAGAGAGCGCCCCAGAGGCCGGAAGGAGCCAAAGCTTATTGATTGTTTTTCGGGGTTCATGCTTTTTGGACATACGCGCCTTTTCGGTTGTCAAGCCGTCTTAGCCAGCCCAAGAGGCCCCCCAGGGGCTCTCAAGACGCCTTCAAGAGAGCCCGGGAGCCCCTCGGAGACAGCCACGGGAAGGCCCCAAGGACGGCCCAAGGACGGCCCGAGGACGACAAGCGGGTCTCGGGGAGGGCCCCTGAAGGTCTGGGGCGAGGCGTTGTGACAGATTCACGGCGTCAGATGTATTGCATGTCGTTATGAGGCTGCGCCCCCCCCTTTTCCTCCCCCTCCCTGGTTAATTCAAGCTTCGCGCGGCCCGCTTAGCTTCGACCGGAAGAGGTGCGCTCTCGACCCGCGGATCAAAAGTATTGCCTTGTTTTTCGTTTGTTTTCTGCCCTCGGGGGCCCTGACCGGGCCCCAGTGCCGTCAGAAAGTTACCTAGAGCGATCGGGCGGTTCTGTGCAAGGTCTCTGGACGTCTGTGGGCCGACTCGGCGTCGTCGTCGTCGCCGCCGCCTCGTCGTCTCCCTTGCTTCATACGTTTTTGGCTCGCGGCTTGAGCGAATCCTTTTGCCACCCATGTCAGGGTAACCTCGACGTATCGCGCAATGGCCGCCTTCCTCTCCACTGTCTGCCTCGCTGCCGTGACGGTCGCCGCGGCGGGAGGCTCCGACAGCACCGCCAGCGCCAGTGAGGCCGACGCGATCGCCTGGCAGGCGTGCCTCCTGCAGTCCAGCAGCTCCGTCGAAGCCGCCGCCCTTCCCGCGCCGACGCTCGTGCCGGCGCGGAGCGCCGAGGCCAAGCGGCGGCCGAAGGCCGGCGCCTCTGCGGGGACGGGCGCCGCCTCGGAGGCTCGAGGAACGACGCGCGACGCGAGCGCAGGGCCCTCGGAGGCCCGCGCGGGTCCCTCCCGGACCGGCGCCGGAGGCCCCCCTCCCCTCCCTGGCGCGCGGAGCGCGCCAGGGGCCGCGCCGGAGGCGCCGCCCGGGGGGGGGGGGGGGGTCCGGCGCCGATCCGAGAGGAATCCGCGCGGGCCTCCGAGTTCTTTGCGCTCACGCCGCGCGTCGTGCCTCGGAGAGGGCGGCGCGGCCGCCCGGCGCGCGGCCGCCGCGGGCGCCGGCGCCGCCGCCTCGCTGGCGCAGGCGGGCAGGCGCGCGGGCGCCCGGGCCGCGGCGGCGGTCGCGGGCGCGGCTGCCCGCGCGGTGCGGCACGCGGCCGCGCCGCTGGAGGAGCTCGCGCTGCGGGCGGGCCTCGTGGCCTCGCTGTGGCTCGCGGTGACGCTGACGATCTGCTGGATGCTCTGGAGCTCGGGGAGGAGGGAACGACACAGGCGTAAAAACTTTCGGAGGTCCGCGCGGATCTTCCTGGATCGGCGCTGGACCCCCCCTGGCGGCGCCTCGGGCGCGCCAGGGAGGGGGTCCAGCGCCGAGCCAAGAACATCCGCGCGGGCCTCCGAAAGTTGATGTTTATGTAGTTGTTCCTATTGCTCTAGGAACGTGCGGTCGGACGCCACGACGCTCCAGGGCTCCCCCTGCCAGACGATCGGGGTCATCTCGTACGTCATCGCAGCAGTAGTCGTCGTGCCAGCGATCGTGGCATCGAGTTTGTCCCCCGTGGCGCTGGTTCGCATCCAGATCGCGGGCCTTCTGGCACTTCTTTTGACAGAAGCCACACCCCATCTGCTGGGCTTGGGGGCCATCGCTTGGGGTCGTTCTCGTTTGTTGAGTCCCTCCGCGACGTTATCGACGCAGGCCTCAACGCCAACATTTCCAGGACCCCCTCTGTGCATTTGCATTGCGGCTCGCATATCCAACGAGACTGACACACTGCCTGCCACCCTCAGCCAATTCTTGCCTACTGAAGACGGCGGCCAAGGAGTTCGCATACCTAAGGGCTCTCTGATCCTGCTCGCATACAACCCCAGGCCAAACCAGGCTGAGCAGGCGTGCTTGAAGGAGTGCGCGAGGATTGCAGCCATGATACCCGGAACATCGTTTCAGGCGTTGAACGTCCCGGATGGAAAGTGCAAAGCGGACGTGGTGAACGCCGCGCTCGCCTTCCTCGCTGCGAAGCCCACGTCATCCCAGCCTGGCATGATTTGCTTCATGGACGCTGACATCATCCTAAAGCATAAGGATGGGCTGATCAGTGGTATTCGGCAGCTCCAGGTCGGCCACCCGAAGGTCTCGGCCTTGTCCGCTACCAGGATTAATATTCACACTGGTAGCTTCTTGGTTGCTGCGGAGTTCCAGTTGAAACAATTCCTGAACACCGGATACGGCTGCCTTCTTGGCACTGGTTGGATGACTGGTGCATTGTTGATCATGCGCACCGAACTTGCTCTGAAGTATGGGTTCGATAGCCATTGTCTGGTCGAGGATAATGATATGCTCGTGCGCATGGCTGCAGATGGGCATTTCTGTTCAAATCCAGCAGACATCGAGGTGATGACTGAGGCCCCGCCAGGTCTGAAGTCTTTCCTGACTCAGCGAACTCGCTGGGCACAAGGTGCCACCTGGGTGGCAATGTTCAGTTTACCGCTCGCTCTGGCTGCGGGTTCCCTTGGAGGCGCTTGCTTGGCCCACCGCGCCCAAGCGAAAACGCGGTGGATTATATTCTGGATCTTTCTGCGGGCGATTCTGAAGTACTTGGTGCCCCTTCTGATTCCAGCCTTCGTCGCAGTGACCTGGCACTGTGGATCCTCTTGCGCAGTTCCTGACGGTCTCTTCGAACTGCGGGGCGCTTTGTATTGGGCATATATCTGTCAGATGGTGTCGATTATTGCCGCGGCAGCTGCGTTGGATCATCCGTGGCTGAAGTGGTAGCACTTCTTGCTCTTCGTCGTGTTGCGTGTTCCACTTGGGATATTCTTGGCGGAGGCAGCCATCGTCGGAGATGCGCAGTATATCTTCGCCATGAACAAGTGGATCGAGACTGCGCGCCACCAGGATAGGGTTCCGGCTCCGACGGGCACGGAGGAGCACGGTGGCCAGAAGGCCGACGTGGGGCGCGGATTCCGCGAGCTAGCCTCCGAGAGCGGGACGCTTTGCGCGACTGGCGTCTCGACCCACATCATCAAGGCGATTGGAACTTTCAGCCTACCTGACTTACAACCGTACTAGCCTAGCTAGCCAGGGCTAGCCTGGCTAGCCTGGCTAGCCTGTTGGTACACCATATCCTGGAGCACATTCTTCAATATAAACATCAATTGTATATGATATTAATACATTACCAGTCAGCTTCGCTGGTGCATGATGGGTGCGCCCTCGTCGGGATCACAGGGCAGCAGGCGCTCTCCGTCTGCCTGCTCCGCGTCAAATCTCGGAGACAGTGCGGGGTGGCGTGACCAGATTTTTGGGCGTCGCGAGCGAGGGCTCTGAGAAGTAGACCAGGCCGTTCTGCTAGATGGGAGGACGACCTCTGCCTCTTTTGCAGAATCCCAAGGCTCGCCCTCTTTTTGTTTAAGGAATCCGCGTGGAGTCGTGATCTGTGGTAGAGCCCAGCTCACGATCTCATCGCCTCGTTCTGGCGTCAGAGTTTGGCTGGTTTGTTTCACCCCGAGCGTGCTGCGTCATCCACTCCCCACGACGCTGCAAGTCCTCGTGAGATGGCCAGCGTGCCTTGCACGGCCGCCCGCCGTGGCGGCGCCCCGTCTGCAGCGATGGCAGCTGCCATTGACTATCATGTTTGTGTCCCCTGTGATCTCGCAGAACACGACCTGGAGACAATTCCAGCAGCTCCGAGTCGAAGTGCTTGCAAGATCCTTTCTTGCTTACAGATTCGCACGATTTGGCGACTGTGGATGATCGACTGTGGATGCATCGACTGTTCTCGTACGCGATTGTCTTTTCGTGTAAGTTCAGTGCCGGCAGCCATCTCAACTTGTTCGGTTTTGTTGCTACGTGCGGCCTCTCTCTGATTGCGCGCCTGCCACCAGTCAAACAACCTGGAGAGATGCCTCGAAGAGTGCCCAAGATTGGGTTCCCCTAAACATGGCCGTTAGGGTTCTGGGGAGGAGGAGGAGGAGCGGCAGAAATCTTCTTCGAGGGGTGGCGCGGAGGATGAAGGGAGGATGAGAAGGAGGTGGGGATGGAACTGGAGTAGTCGAATGATGATTGTGATGAGATGATGATATGGACGTTGAAGACGATGATGCTAACGATGATGATGCCGACGACGACGACGACGACGACGACGACGACGACGACGACGATGATGATGATGATGATGATGATGATGATGATGATGATGATGATGATGATGATGATGATGATGATGATGATGACTAGTGATGGTGTTGATGATGCTGCTGCTGATGCTGATGCTGATGCTGATGCTGATTCTGATGATTCTGATGATGATGATGCTGCTGATGATGATGATGATGATGATGATGATGCTGATGATGATGATGATGATGATGATGATGATGATGATGATGATGATGATGATGATGATGATGATGATGATGAGTGCCGGGTCCCAGCTCCGAATCCCAGCCCACCTCGCGGACACCAGGTCACGCTGGAATTACCCCTTTTTTGGTCTCCTGGGAAGACTTGGTATGGCCCAAGACGGCCCGGGGTGGCGCCATAGCGACCCCTGAGGCTCCGAGAAGGCCCAAGAAGCCCCGCAGCGGCTTGCAATAGCTTCAAGACAGCCCGAGAGGTCCCGTGGCTGGTACAAGACGGCGTCAAGAATACCACCCAGAGGGCCTCCAGAAGCAAACACTTCTAGTTTTTTTCTACAGCTTTGTAAGGTTTTCTTGTTGTCGGATTCTCGAGGGGCTCACACTCATCAGACCCACTCGCGCTCAGACTCAGACTCAGACACATTCACTCTCGGACTCAATCATAGTCAGACGAACTCACACCCATACTCCTTTCATATTCAGGCTCAGACTCGCTCATACTCAGAATCGCTCAGGCAGATTGCTTGTTACGGACTGCCAGCGTGTCTTTTGGTGGTCCCATGCTCACTGCGATGTAGTAGGCGTAGCACTTGGGCACCCCGAGGGGAAGGGGAGGCGGGGGGGCGCCAGTTGTGGGGATACTCCAGGATTCGCTCCCAAATTGTGTGGGTGCCTCAGGCGGTTTGCCTGTTTCGGACCGTAACGTCATCTGCTTTCGGAGCAGACTGGGCCCCTTTTCATTTACAGTGGTTCCCCCCAAGTGGGGGTGGCAGCATGATGGATGGATGCGCGTGGGCAAGTTGAAGCATGGCGCATGAGGGTACGCTTATCCTTATTCTTGTTGTCGTTGTGGTTGTGGTTGTGGTTGTGGTTGTGGTTGTGGTTGTGGTTGTGGTTGTGGTTGTTGTTGTTGTTGTTGTTGTTGTTGTTCTTGTTGTTGAACATTATTACTTCTAAAGAATAATTATTGTTGGGACCCCTGGTGCACGACCCCCCCGCCGCGCCTAGGCCGCAGCCTCATTTTCATCATTTTCGTGAGGAAGTCTCAGGCAAAACGGGGGAGTCCGGATCCGGTTGTGTTGTTACGATCGGTTTTCCCTTGCAAAAAATAAGCTAAAGTGGACATTTCTTGTTCTAACATAACCAAACTTCAAGAATCCCTTGCAAAAAATAAGGTAAAGTGGACATTCGCGCGCGCAAGACGAAATCCTTCCAAAACCTTAGTTTTCGTAGCGATTTTAACATAAAAACATCAAAAAACCAATGGTTTTTCAAAAAAAAATGTCAAAATTTCATCCCGCGCGCTCTTGCGGATTCGTAGGAAACCCAACACTTTTTAAACATTTCTGTCAAACGGGCTTTTGCGAGCAACTTTTTCGAACTTCTGCAACAACGGTTGCGCACCTGCCAGGGCCATCATCCCTGTCAAATAATACCATGCGGGACACATTCGTTTTTTCTTCGCGCGCGCACGCCGTCGTCGTCGGCCGCGGGGCCCTGAATAGTAGCCACGGTCGTCCGCATGCCACGAAGTGAAGTGTCCGAACGTCATAGGGCGGGAAGCTGGGTGTGGGTGGTGGCGAAGAGTCGTTTGGAAATTTGGTAGAGCTTGAACCGGCCCCCCCACAAAGTGGGGGTATTGCCCGCCTCCTATGAAAACCCTGGCACTGGTGAGAACGGAGTGTCCCCACGTGCTAGTAATTGTTGTTGTTGTTGTTGTTGTTGTTGTTGTTGTTGTTGTTGTTGTTGTTGTTGTTGTTGTTGAACATTATTACTTCTAAAGAATAATTATTGTTGGGGCCCCTGGTGCACGACCCCCCCGCCGCGCCTAGGCCGCAGCCTCATTTTCATCATTTTCGTGAGGAAGTCTCAGGCAAAACGGGTTGGTCCGGATCCGGTTGTGTTGTTACGATCGGTTTTCCCTTGCAAAAAATAAGCTAAAGTGGACATTTCTTGTTCTAACATAACCAAACTTCAAGAATCCCTTGCAAAAAATAAGGTAAAGTGGACATTCGCGCGCGCAAGACGAAATCCTTCCAAAACCTTAGTTTTCGTAGCGATTTTAACATAAAAACATCAAAAAACCAATGGTTTTTCAAAAAAAAATTGTCAAAATTTCATCCCGCGCGCTCTTGCGGATTCGTAGGAAACCCAACACTTTTTAAACATTTCTGTCAAACGGGCTTTTGCGAGCAACTTTTTCGAACTTCTGCAACAACGGTTGCGCACCTGCCAGGGCCATCATCCCTGTCAAATAATACCATGCGGGACACATTCGTTTTTTCTTCGCGCGCGCACGCCGTCGTCGTCGGCCGCGGGGCCCTGAATAGTAGCCACGGTCGTCCGCATGCCACGAAGTGAAGTGTCCGAACGTCATAGGGCGGGAAGCTGGGTGTGGGTGGTGGCGAAGAGTCGTTTGGAAATTTGGTAGAGCTTGAACCGGCCCCCCCACAAAGTGGGGGTATTGCCCGCCTCCTATGAAAACCCTGGCACTGGTGAGAACGGAGTGTCCCCACGTGCTAGTAATTGTTGTTGTTGTTGTTGTTGTTGTTGTTGTTGTTGTTGTTGTTGTTGTTGTTGTTGTTGTTGTTGTTGTTGTTGTTGTTGTTGTTGTTTTTGTCAACACGGGGCCAGGGGCCCAATAAGATGCGCAAGATTTCACCCTGTACAAAACAGGGTGCGAGCCCCGGGAGCAGCACTTCCAGTGAAAGGCGCAAGGTGCACAGGGCAAGGCGGACCAACAGTAATTATTCTGTAGAAGTAAGAATTCAACACCGCAGCAACGCAGCAACAATCCGCACCGCGGAATCCCACTCGAGCCACGTGCCCAGGGACAGTGAATGACCGTTCGATCCCTTTATTCTGATCAGGTGTGAAGGTGATTATCAGCTTCGAGGGTTGATCGACCCGAGGGTTGATCGACCGAGGCGGAGGGTTGAGGGGGTTGATCGACCCGAGGCGGAGGAGGAGGAGGAGGAGCAGGAGGAGGAGGAGGAGGAGGAGGAGGAGGAGGAGGGAAGAGGAGGATGAGGAAGACGAGGAGGAGGAGAGGAGAGGAGGGGAGGAGGAGGAGGAGGAGGAGGAGGAGGAGGAGGGGAGGAGGAGAAGGAAGAGAAGGAAGCAGGCGAGGAGGCTTCGCTTCAGGGGCCCCCCGAAAAACTTCACGAGGCGGTTCTGGCTGTCTGGTGCGCCCCCCCGGTTTCCCCCCCCCCCCCACCCCACCCGGCCGGAATCCGTTTAGAGCTGGCTCCCGAATCGGAGGAGGAGGAAGAGGGAGGGAGGAGGAGGGGAGAGGAGGAGGAGGAGGAGGAGGAGGAGGAGGAGGAGGAGGAGGGAAGAAGAGGAGGAGGAGGAGGAGGAGGAGAGGAGGAGGAGGAGGAGGAGGAGAGGAGGAGGAGGAGGAAGAGGAGGAGG